ATTATTTATATTTGCTAAATGCCAGAATAATGAGAGAATTTTAAAAAAACGTTTTTTAAAGTCAGAAGTTGACATTCACTAAGACTATCCATCCATCCACTATCTACTACAGTCATGAACAAAAGTTTCTTTACACTTGTAAAGATCATGTATATCATTGTAGTACTGAGTTTCCAATGACCCCTATATGTCTTAATTTTTTTTTATGACAGAATCATTGAAACCCATGTGTCTTTGTCACAAAAAACAATCATGCATTTTGGTTCTTTCATAGATTTAGTATTGGTCTATTGGAAATATGACTAAATTTGCTGTGTCAAAAATATACAAACAGCAACTTGAATGATCAGTTTTGGTGATGTAGAAAGCTGTGTTAATCAGATTTTCTCAGTGGCATGGCCTCTTAACTAGTCGTGAGTAATTACAAATGACTACAGCTGGTGACTCCTCTGAACCAATTTAAATTGGGCCCATTAGGCCCAATACACTGATTAGACTCAGCCACAAACACTACAACTTTAACTGTTTGCTTGCTTTAACTGTACTCTGGCAAAACAATTTCCTTCAGGATGAATAAAGTTTATCTTTATCTTTATCTTTATCTTTACAATGGGAAAGTCTGAGGAGCTCAGCAAAGATCTAGAGAAGCATTGTCTTGAACAAGTCAGGAAAGTCCCTTGGAGTGATTTCAAAACAGATAGAGATCCCAAAATCATCCAAAATCAGAAAGAAAAGACAAGCTATCACCTGCTTCTGAGAGACAACTGGTCTAGATGGTAACGAGTCAACCAAGAATCCCCTAAATGCAGGTTTACAATGAATTAGAAGCTGGTGGAACCCAGGTATCAGTGTTCACAGTCAAGCATGTTTTACATTATCACAAGCTCAGCAGCTGCCATGCAAGAGGGATCTCTTTGTCCAGAAGCAGCACCTTAAGGCTTCACTAAAGGCTATTTGAAGAAAGAAAAAAAAAATCAGGCTAGAATTAAGGTTATAGAACAGTCTTCCTACATTCCTAAATGAAACCCCATTCGGAATCTGTGGACTGTGCTAAAGAAACAAGTCTGTTAAACTATACCAATTCTGTCAAGAGGAGTGGTCAAAGATACAACAAGAAGCTTGTGGACTGCTACCCAACGCACCTTGTTGAGGTGAAAATGGCTAAGGGACATTTAACCAATTATTAACATGTTTTTGACCCAGTGGATTGTCATATTTCTAGATGATCCATAATAAATATATTAAAGAACCAAAATGCATGATTGTTTCTTTGTGAAAAAGGGTTTTAATCATTTCATCATAAAAAAATAAGGGTTATGGGAGTCATTGGAAACTCAAGACTGCCATTATATAAATTGTCTTTACAAGTGTATGGAAACTTTTTTCAATATTATAACTCCCCCTAACTCTTGGCTTATCCAAGAAATGAGAGGCAGTGCATAAGTAGAGCTGAGGCAGGCCATGCAAAAGTCACTGGGCCATTGACTGTCCTGTGACTAACCCTGCCCACCTGTAACTCAAAGCGGCCACATCCTTAATTATGCATACCTTTAAGACTTTAAGGAAATTAGCTATAGAGACTGAAGCGTATTTTTTTTTGTACCAGGCTATAACTATGTTTATCTCTGCTGTAATGTTGGACATTTAAACATAGGGGTTTATGGATACTGACTTGCTTTTAGAGCCAACCTCAAGCGACATTTGAGAAACTGCAGTTTTTGGCATTACAAAGTTATGTTCGTGCCATTTCTCAGCCCTGGAGGTTGCTGCTTGAGTAAAGCTTGTTTTTGTCATGCGATACTGAGCTTAGCTTTCTTGATAGTGAGTAAGCTAGTATAGACATCTGTGTATTTCTATAAATATTGTGTTGACACTCACTTTATGTTTGCTTATGAGAAGGATTGTTAAGTGCAGTAGATGGATGGAATGATAAATGGATAGATAGATGAATAGATACCAAAAGTCATACCATCAACATATCGGGATAAAACTGATTGATTTAGACCATTCTATTTTAGAATACTAAGTAGCTAAAGTCCATCTTTAAAAGATGTTTAATCTTTTTAATTGTGTTAGAGAATATCCAAATAGATGTGTAGAATGGATTGATAAAGTGTAAATATAAACCTTTTTCTCTTACTGTAGATCCCATTGAGATCCACAAACGGAAGCTCTTCCTGTGGTTCAGCCACCTTCCTCAGGAGGAGAAACAGTTTGGGGGTTACTTTAGCCCTGAGACCATGCATGTGGACCCACTGATCTTGGAAAGAAATCCTGAGGAGAGGTTAGGACCGCTCAGCCCCCCTCTGCAAACCCAGAACCCCTCAAGCCCCTCAAGCCCCTCAAGCTCCTCTGTGACTGTGGAACAGCTGTTCGAGCCTACCGATGCCTGGAGTAATGATCGAGGGCTCAATGTGCTGCTCTATGGAGCAGTGGGAACAGGAAAAAGTACAGTGGTCCGAAAGCTAGTGCTGGATTGGTGTGCTGGGACCACTCTCACCAACTTCAAGCTTCTGGTTCCTTTCTCTTGTGAGGACCTCAGCCAGCTTTCAAAGTAAGATATTGTTTTCTTTTGTCTTTTCTCTCAGTGTCACATTCATCGATCAACTACAACATTAAAACCACCTGCCTAACATTGTGTAGGTCCCTCTTGTGCTGCCAAAATGGCTCGTATTCAGTTTGACTGAACACACCTCTGAAGGTGGTGTGTGGTATCATGCACTAGCATGATAGAAGCAGATCTTTTAAGTCCTAAAAATTGCAAGATGGGACCTCCATGGATAGTATTTGTTTTTCTAGCACATCCCCCTGATGATTGACGTCTGGGGAATTCCTTGATCTTTTTTATGATCCTGAGACTATTCCTCAATAATGTTTGCAGTATGGCAGGGATCCTTTTCCTTGCTGATAAAGGCCACTGCCATTAGGGAATCTCATTGCCATCAAAGGATGTACGTGTTCTGCAACGGTAACAATAGCTGACTACAGTTTTTTGCAGTTTGTGCTGCAGTAAATCATCTGAGGGATCAGACTGCACAGGTCAGTCTTTGCTCCCTGCAAGAATCTAAAAATTAGATAATAAACTATTGTTACAGTTACTATGGCCACATACACTGAAATATGGGACACATTACAGAAAGGATAGTTTTCTTTATGCAGACTTATTAAAATGTCCACTCATTTGTACTGGGAGTGTGTACCAGTACACTGTAAAATGTGAATGGGAAACATACCTAGATATGGCAGAGATAAAACACAAAACACAATTTTGACAACAACTGGTTTCATGGATTAATTGTGTTACTTTCGACGGACAAAGTTAGAGCCATTTTGCATAGAATTTGACTTTTACGAAGAATTTAAATGCTGGTTGCCTGCAGTTTAATCAAACTAATGTAACAGGTCCGATTCCACGCAGGGTGTCTTCCTTACGGGACATGGTGACCAGGAAGTACCTCCACCTGAGAAAACACCCAATGCTGAGTGGGGAGGGAATCCAGGCCAAGGATGTGCTTTTCCTCTTTAACGGGATGGAAAAGATAAAATTGGACTTCCGCATTGGATCCACAGAGCTATGTAGTGACCCTAATGAGGCACTGGCTCCAGGTGTAGTGGTGGTGAACCTGCTGAGGAAGTACCTCCTGCCTGAGGTAAGAGATAATCCACCATTGCTGCAGTGCTTTTATCTCTTGCCTTGTATCTTCAGTGGGCTGTTCTGTTTCTCTGTTTTGGACCATCATGTATTTATCATGTTTATCTGCTAAATGCAGACATGCATGCTGTTGTGTTCCTGTCCAAGCAAAATCAGTTAAAGTAGTGTTTGTAATTGGTGGTTCTGGAATTCTTTGCTCTATGTTTCCTAGGCCAGCGTCTTGGTTACAACAAGACTTTCTGCTCTGGACCGTATCCCTCAGAAGTATATTAGTCGTTATGCACAGATTTGTGGCTTCACTGACCCAGACCGCCAGCGAGCATACTTCACTAGCCGCCTACTGCAGCAGAGTGGGGAGACGGTCCGTAACCAAGAGGCCCAAGCTCTAATAGAGCTGCTTTACCTCAGCCTACAGAGAGAAAGTCAGCTTGCTGCCGCCTGCTTCCTCCCTTCCTACTGCTGGCTCACATGTGCCACCTTACACTTCCTCCATTTCACCAACATCAATGCCCCCATCCGCACATTGACTGGAATATACACCAGTTTTCTTAGGCTCAACTTTGGGGGTGAGGTGCTGGGAACAGGGGCGGGGACAAATGTGCCCACTCAGGGGCACCACAGTTCCCTGATGTTGTATGTCGTTCGTACAGTTGGTAAACTTGCGTTTGATGGTGTGACTTACAAGCGCACATCATTTTCAGAAAAGGAACTGGAACAGTGGATAGGAGGGAAGACCAAGACGGATGAGGAGCTACATCAGCTGGCCATGTTCCGGACTGATGTTTTAGACTTCTTCTTAGCTCCCTGCATAGGAAATGATAAACATTTATCCCAAGACCTTAGTGAGAATGATGAGAGGCGGTATGTGTTTGCTGTCCCGGCCATGCAGGAGTATCTGGCGGCTCTCTACATTGTTCTAGGAGAGAACAAATCGGCTCTAGAGAAGATGACCAGGCAGGTGTCTGTGGCCATTGGCCAGGCAACTGAGGATGTGAATGCCATTATGAACATCCTATCTAAATTCATCCCCCTCAGAATCTTTGCTATATTCAACCTTCTTAAGCTTTTTCCAAAGCTTTATGAGAAAATCAGCAGTCGCAGCAAAGGCAGTATTGCCAGAACCATGGCAGCTGAGATGTTCCGCACTGAGGATAGCTACAACGAGGATGTCCTGGATCAGGTGGAGCAAAGCCTTCTTGGAGTCCATGGTCCGCAGCCAAAGCAGTACAGTGAAGGCCAACCCTTTGAACTCTACCCCATCTTCATGGGTGGACTGTTGCATTATGGTAACCGTGTGCTTCTCCAACAACTTGGCTGCAGCATTCAAAGCAGTACTGTGGCCCAGATCACACGTGCCCTTAGGAAGTATCTTGTCAGAGGTAACTTTCATGTTTTTTTCAATCTTTCCTACACAGTCTGCTTTGTATTAATAGTTGAAAAGTTAAACAATTGCTTTGACTTAGCTTGCTATTTGGGGCCTGCACACCAAGATTTGCGACGGCCCTCTTGAAACAGCTCTGTTTATTGCTGAAGGTGTGATGGCCGATCATCACTGCTTGCAGCTGTAATATTTATTGTACATTTAAGTCAAGTACACTTCAGGATTTCTTGAAATACCCTTTCAAAATCTTGAACCATAATGAACCTGCAGGACACCAATGTAGTTAACACTGACAGGGCCAGCACTGGACCAGTATGGTATAATGCTAAAATGGTAGCTTAATCTGGTCTTTTACATCTGCAATACTACTATTTTTGCAACATTGGTTTACCAGAGGAATGTGTAGTAATTGTTACTGCGTAATTGTACAAGAAAGCTCTCATTTGCTTGCAACTGTGCAGTGTGGATTAAGACAAATCAAATTTCAAAAATTTAATTGAGGGTGGAATTTGTGTGTATCAATGGTAACCCTAATCTCTGTTTGAGCCCAGCCTGAATTAAGAGTGAAGGAATTTTGTGTGTCTATGGATGCTGAGCCTTCTCTTTTGATGCTAGAGCTCAGCAAGCCACAGCCACCGGAGGAGCTGATGGATCTGCTGGTCCTTCTGTATGAGTTTCAGAACCCAAGACTGACTGCAGAGGTTCTGGCCTCAATCAGAGCTATCCGCCTCACCAACATTCGTATGACGCCGCTCAAATGCTTCGTACTAAGTTCTGTGCTCTCATGTACCCCTGCAAGGTAAACTGGAATTGAACTGAACTAGATTACAGTCTCAGTCCCACTGCATAGTCCTTATTGATGAAACTGTCCTGTTTAATGAAAGTTATTTTGAAGGTCAACAACTACAGTCAAGTGTTAAAGTCAATGTTAACTGTTTCAGGTCCAGTTGATGCAGAATATATGTAAACATTCATTGTATAAATCAGTGTAAAAAAAAAATCCCACCATTTTGTCAGTTGAATTTTAATGTCATAGTTTATCTTACCAAAGTTTTTTCATGTTTTCACCACATAAGCAGTACTTTTGTGCTGTATATAGGTAAGGTAGGTACAGTCGGAATTGGCATGCTGACAGAATGTGAAGTTACTGAAGTCCTGAAAATATTGTTCTAAAACTGACACATATAGCCACTGGTATGAGATTGCATTATAAAGATTTAAATTGTTTGGCAGAGATTGTAGCAAGATCACCGAAGTTTTGTCTCTCTGTATGTAAAATACAAAGAAGTTTTTTCTTTTAAAGCTTGTGAGTCCTGATTTTTAAGAAAATGTTACAGTGTCACAATGTTTCCCTGTAGTTATCACCTCGAAGAGCTGGACCTGTCCTCCTGTCTCCTGAATCATGACATGCTTCAGATGCTGTGGCCCGCCTTTAGACACACACACAACCTCAAGTGAGACAAACTCATTGCATGTTTTGTTTTCCATAATAAGAAAAGGGTAGAAGAAAAAGAAGACTGTTTTGCATGATGCTGAATATGTATGTTATACTGCTACTTCCTCTGCTCCAGTCTCAAGAAGTTAATGTTAGGTTGTGTTCTGCTGCTTGGAATGAGAGCAGGTGTAGTAACTGAGTTTTTAACCAGTTTAGCCTTATGAAAACATAATATACAGTCGTGACAATCCGACCCTTAACAATCCGAAAACCTTGCTATCCAACAGGTTTTTAGGAAAAACAGGAACGTGCCCCCCTGACTGTGCTGAATATTCGGATATTAATTGGATCTGTGTTGTTCAGACTGTCATGAAAAGATCAGATACAGGTCGCATAGGAGAAAAAAAAAAATCGGATTTGGGTCACTTCAGCCTGCTGTCTGAATGTATTTACCTTTGATGTCAACCGACAGGCCCGTGCACAAGCCCACCGGTCAATTAAGTGTGAAATCCAGCGATGCGTAGTGTTCTAACAATACACTAGTTATTATAACAACTATAAACAATGAATATTAACAACAAATCACCCTTCAAGCATCAAGCTCTCCTTGTATCTCCACCTCCGTCTTGACAATCAGACAGCCTTGCTGTCCAACATAAAAGAAGGTTTTACATGTAGTGTCGGATTATCGAGTCACGACTGTATTTGGTATATCCTAAGTGCCCTGTGTGTTTGCATAATGTTGTATCTTTGACATGTGCCTACTGACAGTTCTTGCTGGCCACTGGTATGATACATCTACTGAAATCAGCTGACACATACAAGCATGCTGATGTATCAGTCAAACACTTGTCTAAGTTTATCTGTTTCATATGTACTTGACTAATTCTATGATGATATTCTAAAAGAATCATTTTCTTAACTAGTTATTCAAGTAACCCAGTAGAGCGTCACACTTGTAATGTACAAACAGACAAAAACATAATCACTACAGAATTTTCTATAAACCTAAGGAACATTAAAGTGTAAAATGTCTTTCTAAGATAATTGTTTTACGGCTGTTTGTATGTTTTAATACTAGTAATGAATTTTCATCTACGAACAGGCGCATGTTTCAGTTTGCCTGCTTTTCGTTCCTTCACAACAAAGTAAAATTATCCTGGAAGATGGGGTGTCTATCAGTGATAGACAAAAAAATCACAGCAGTAAAGACTAGGCTGGGTCCAGCACTGTAAAGATAAAACTGTCTGAAGTTACTGGTTTATTTGGTGCATCTAGATTAAACAAATGTGTCCCAATGCAACAGTCCTGAGAGAAATCCTACTTTTGATAGCTGCAACTATATTGATTACACAAACAAGTGTTATGTTGCCTACCATGAAAAAGGTAGACAAAATAATAGATACGGTATAACAGTTGTGTAAAGTTTAAAAAACCCTCTCTAAAACAGTTTTAACAAATACTTAAGTGTATGACCCAACCGTCAGTGAATGTCTCCTACTAGCAAGTATTATTTGTGTATCAAACTCTGATATATCTTATTTCTCTGTGCCAAAGAGCTACATTATTGTCCAAATATCAAACATGTTTGTGAGCCACACTGTTACACTGGCTAACATGTTTCTTTGTTTCCCAAATACACTGTCCTGCTGCCACATATATTCACTTGTAAGTAAGATGCTATTGATTTACAGATTTTGGGAATTACAATTTTGGTCATAAAATTTGTTGACATTAAATATGCATTAATTAACACCAGCCATATTGCTTTAAAATAGTCTACATTATAACCAATTACTGGGTTATTTCAAAGTTTCAAAATGAGCCTTGATGACAGATAATTTTAACAGTTTTTTACTGACCGAAAAACTCCTGTGCTTGTTGAGCATGTGTTTGCTGTGTGTATTGTGATTGTTGTGTTTGCCTGTCTCTGTCATCCTCAGTCTGCAGTTTAACAGCCTGGGTCCTGAGTCTTGCATCCTGCTGAGAGACCTGCTACTAGACCCCAAGATTTTGATAAAATCTCTACAGTAAGATTACACTTTCATTTTTGTCTTTGTTTTTAGCCCCTGTATGGATCTTTCAATTGTCAATGCTTGATTTTTATATACAGCCATCTTTGAAAATGTTTTAAATTTAGCTAAATGAAAAAGAGGGCCACTTTAGAGACAATTTTACATTGCACCTGGAGCTTTAACAGGCTGAAATGCTTCTCTTTTGTGCTTTTGAGTCAATCAATTGTATTTGGGATTAGGATTAGGTACTGAATAAGCACAAGATCGACTGAAAAAGGCAATATTTTAGCAGTTATGGAGGGTGACAAAAACTTGGTGTGGTGCATGTGGTAACAACAAAAGTAGTTCTCATGTCAGGAAACCATTCACACCAGTATTTTATAGGAAAGATATGATACATGATTTTGTAAGACCATTTTCATGTGAAAGTCCCACCTACGGTGAAAAGTTATTTATTTTACTCATACTCATATTTTACTCACCAAAGCCAAGTATTTCCACCTTGAAAGTACGGTGTTCTGATGATAGTCTCAAAAATACAGTAATAAACAAAGGAACAAATCCTGTCAACTTGCTGGGTGGGCGTTTCCCTGTCAATATTCTTCACAACTAATTTCTGGTTTGAACATGTAAGGCTAAATTGCTCCAATAGTAAAACTGTTGAGCAGAATTGTGAGTGAGCTGGTGTGCTCAAGCTGCAGTGAGTGGTGAGGGGTGAGTGGAATGAGGCAAGCACATTCAGGATGAAGTAATGGTGTAGAGTTACATCTAAGCCATTTTAAGACAGGAAAGGACTGTTTTCATGAAAAAAAGGTAAACATATTTAACAACTGGAGTGGGACTTTAAAGTAATGATCTCCTTCCTTTTTCTGGAGAGGGTTTCACAAGGACTAGACCTTCAACATCTAGCCACAGTACCCCAAAGCTATATCTGGTGCAGCATTTCCATGGTAACTGTCACAGTGGGACTGCTGTTGACCCAACAACTTTTCGTATTTACCAGGCAAATCAATGTGTTTTGTCCTCAGCTAAGTTGTGACTAAATGTTTAGTGCACTCCTTCTACTTTTCTGGCAGTATGTTGTCAGAATATTTATGTCTTTGCACACTAGGCAAGTCTTCTCTTCTTTTTTAAAATTGCACTGTAGCTGTTGTAGATTAATACATTTTGCTGTGACCACTGTAACCTGGAAGTTGTAGTGTTTTGGCTATTGGCTATATATATATATATAGCTATTTATATACTGTCAAAAAAAGGTTTTAAAAAAATGCTATTAGTGCATACGATTGGATAGATTAATAATGTATCATCATCATCAGATCGAGTTTGTTCATTGCATCAGCGAGATCCTCCGCAGTAAATCCAGTATCATTGGTCAGTTGGTCTACGTAGGTACGTGATGATCTTCCAATGTGACTTCGGCCAAGAGTTGGTTTCCAAAAAGGGTTTGATAGAGTTCATGTTTGACTCTCCAGCAAACCGTAATCTCTGTTGTTTACTAACAGCTGAATTTGGGAGGAGGTTTTCATAGAGTCCTTCAACGTTGGGTGCTGCTTCCATGAAACGTTGAGAATGGCTCGATGCATTTTAATGTAGGTGTCACCCAGCTTAGATTCCAACTGTTCAATAGGCGTCCATGCAGTTGAACTGTACAGAAGTACGGATTCAACAATGGCTTGAAAAAAATCCAAGGACCATATCATCTGAAAAATTAGATTTCCAAAAGTGTTTAAACATACAGTGGCCAATCACACTTCTGCAGTTCTTGATTTTACGTCAGCTTTTGTTGACGATATGTTACTGCCAAGGTATTTGAAATTTTGTACTTCATTGATATTTGAATCAGACAGTGAATTTATTTTTCCTGTAGTATTGATGGACATAAATTTAGTTTTTTCTGCATTAACATAGAGACCAAGACGAGTGGCATTTTCTAGCTTATGTAGAAAGGTTGTTACTCTGGAAATTGTGTCAGACATTAGTCAATGTCATCGGCATAATCAATTTTTTGTTTTTTATTTCTGGGTGTCTTCTGCTTTTTGATTTTTTTGATTTTTTTTTTGTAAAGTGAAGCCAAGGTTCTTAACAGGATAGGTTGAAGTTCTTAGTACATAGTCAAGACAAAGTATGAAAAGGCATGGAGCTATTAGTGTCCTCTTGTAAGATACAGGTGAGTATATAAATAAATTCAGTGTCTCCATCAGGTGAGCAGATCATTGCACAAGTGTTTTTGCAAAGCATCGTGGTAGTTTTAACCGTTTCTTTTGGTGTACTGTATGCTACAAGAATTTGTTGCATCTTGTCTCTATGAATTGAGTCAAATGCTTTAGAGAAATCTACAAATAAAAATACAACAGAAAGATTTTTTGCACAAACACCTTCAATGACCCTTCATACTGTTAGAAGTTGGCTTGCTATAGAGTGATTCTAAAATCGTGTGATAACATATCAAACAATACATAAAATGTGCACATGCTTTCCATAAAATACTGCCTATCAAAGATGTGTCCTCACTCATCATCAGCTTTCACCTTTTCAAGTCGTCTTAAATAATTTTGGAAGGGCCGCCGCTTTAGCTCACCTGATTGACTGGCGACCCATTTACAGGGGCTATAGTCCCCAATGCAGCGGCCATGGGTTCAAATCCTGCTCATGTCCCTTTGCTGCAACTCCTTCCCCATTCTCCTCCCCCACCTTACTGTCTCTCTCTTGACTGTCCTATTTAATAAAGGCAAAAAAGCCCCCAAAAAAATAAATAAAAAAAATAAATAAAAAAATCAGGAAATAATTGCGTCTGCCATGACCTTAAGGTCTTCTTTCCACCCTCTTGTTAATGGTGGATAAAGACATAAAACAGAGTTGACGTGTATACTAATGGATCACATTTTTTTTGGAGTGATATTATATTATTTTTTAATACGGAAAAGGATCCCAATGCTTTTTTATTCTCTCCATATACATATACTACATTTACGTACATATGTTGGCTAATGTACCTACAAGCCAGACTAATATGGTTACAACACTATGCCTAAGATATATTTTATTGCATGGTATAGTAGTCAGTGCTCTACCGTTGTAATTGCGTTGTCATTATGTTGTCGTTATTATAATATATGAAGAGTTTATTTGCAAAAACAGATCACTCCATCTACACAAGCCTTCAGAAAACCCACTTTTCCATCGTCTACCTGAGACAATATCAATCAAACTTAAGTTATCTCTATTTTAGTCATGTCATTTCTACTGAGTCAAATCCACTAAACTTCAGTTTGAGCAATATTATCTCAAGCAAACAACAAAAAATGTAGCTGTTTTTGCAAATGAACTCTTCATATATTAATTAATACATTGCACTGTAACTAAAGATTTATTTATATGCAGAGCTATAGTGGTTACGGAAAATATCTAACAGAAACACTCACAGAAACTCGAATGTGTTGTTTCACACTGAGCTTTGTTTTTAATGTGAAATTGAAAAACTTAGAATGTGTCTTTTGCTGTTGTTACAAGATGTCTGATATTAAAGTTATAGTTTTTCCATGAAATTAATCATCCATCCATCCATCCTTCCATCCTTTTCCGCTTTATACAGAGTCGGGTCGCGGAGGCAGCAGCCTTAGCAAAGCCGCCCAGACTTCCCAATCCGCACACACCTCCGCCAGCTCTTCTGGGCAGACCCCTAGGCTTTCCCAGGCCAGTCGAGAGACATAATCTCTCAAACGTGTCCTGGGTCTTCCCCGAGGCCTCCTCCCGGTGGGACGCGCTCGGAACACCTCCCCAGGGAGGCGTCCAGGAGGCAAAAGATGCCCGAGCCACCTCAGCTCGCTCCTTTCCACGTGGAGGAGCAGCGGCTCTACTCCAAGCTCCTCCGGCATGACTGAGCTCCTCACCCTATCTCTAAGGGAGCGCCCAGCCACCCTGCGTAGGAAACTCATTTCGGCTACTTGTATCCGCGATCTCGTTCTTTCGGTCATTACCCAGATCTTGGTGGACAGCTGCTTTCTCCTCCTGAGGTGCCGGACGGTTTGCCAGAATTTCTTCAAGGCCGACCGGTAGTCCTCCTCCATGGCCACCCCGAACTCCTCCCAAAACCAAGTTTTTGCCTCTGTGACTGCACGAGCTGCCGCATGCTTGGCCTGCCGGTACCTGTCAGCTGCCTCAGGGGTCCCACAAGCCAAAAATGACAGATAGGACTCCTTCTTCAGCTTGATGGCATCCCTTACTTCCGGCTGCCATCACCGGGTTCCGGGATTGCTGCCGTGACAGGCACCAGAGCCTTTATGACCACAGCTACGAGCGGCCGCAGTGATAATGGAGGAGGAAAACATGGACCACTCGGCCTCCATGTCTCCGACCTCCCTCGGAATCTGGGAGAAGCTTTCCCGGAGGTGGGAGTTGAAAATTCTGCTGACAGAGGGTTCCGCCAGACGTTCCCAACAGACCCTCACGATACTCTTAGGTCTGCCAGGTCTGACCAGCTTATTCCCCTGCCAGCGGATCCAACTCACCACTAGGTGGTGATCGGTGGACAGCTCTGCCCCTCTCTTTACCCCAGTGTCTCCGAAACACGCGGCCGGAGGTCTGATGATACAACTACAAAGTTGGTCATTGACCTCCAGCCTTGGGTGTCCTGGTGCCACGTGCACATGTGGACACCCTTTTGCTCGAACAAAACACTCTCAATGGTGCAGGTGTAAAAGTTCCTGAGCACCTTGAGAGGGAGCTTAAAGTCCCTCAGTCGTCGGAGGAAGCAGAGACACTGTCGAGCTTTCTTCACCAGGGTGTTGACACGTCAGGTCCTGCATTATGTTAACACCCAGGTACTTGAAGCTCTCCACTCGCTCCACCTCTGTCCCGCTGATCCTGAGTGGGTGGGATGCCCTCTGCTGCTTCTTGCTGTAGTCCACAATCAGCTCCTTGGTCTTGCTGACGTTCAGGAGGAGGCTGTTGTCTCTGCACCAGTCCATGGGTGATGGGTGATCTCCATCAGATAATCCTCCTCGTTGTTGTTGGAGCTCAGACCCACCACTGCTGTGTCGTCAGCAAACATAATGATGGTGTTAGAGTCTGATGTGGACAGGCAATCATTGGTGTACAGTGAGTACAGCAGAGGGCTGAGCACACAGCCCTGGGGGGCACCGATGTTCAGGGTGCGTGAGGGGGACTGGTGGTTCCCCACTCGAACCACCTGTGGTCTGCTGGTCAAAAAGCTATAGACCCACCTGCACAGGGAGGAGGTGAGTCCGAGGTCCTGCAGCTTAGTGACCAGTCTGGAGGGGATTATGGTGTTGAACGCTGAACTGAAGTCCACGAACAGCATTCTCACATAATTCCCCTTCCTAGTGTCCAGGTGGGCCAGGGTTGTGTGAAGCAGGTGATTCATGGCGTCGTCTGTGGATCTGTTTGGCCGGTATGCAAACTGTAGTGGGGCATGGCCTCTTAACTACTCATGAGTGATTAAAACTGACTACAGCTGGTGACTCCTCATAGCCAGTTTAAATAGGGTTCATTTGATACACTCATCAGACACAACACAAACACTACAATGGGAAAGTCTGAGAAGCTAAGTTTAGATCTGAAGAAGCAAACGAATGTCACCATTTGCATGTACAATGTGTTCCTACCAGAAATGTCTCATCATTCCAATGTGTCCTCCAGACTGTGTGACAACCCTCTACTGGAGTCTGGAGCCCAAACCCTGCTGGAGTCTCTGCCAACGAACCAGTCCCTGACACACCTGGGCCTGATGCACACTGGGCTGGGGGACAAGGGGGCCCTGGAGCTGGCTGAGAGGCTCCAGCTGCACACAGGACTCCAGGAGCTCAACGTGGCCTATAACAATATTGGAGACAATGCTGCTTTGACTCTGGTGGACGCCTGTAGAGAGCATCCCAACATTCACACTGTGCAGTAAGCAGCTTTATTTCATGGGCTTTCATGGTCTGCAACAATGTTTACGATGGTGGTACATGTCAAAGTAACATCCTCATGAATGCAACAAGTAGTTTTAATTGTTTTAATTAAATGCAGAAATAAATAGTTACACCTTGAGGTTGCAGATGTCACGCAGACGTAGGGGCAGATTGATTGAAAGATAGGATTAGATTAGGCCGAGGCATTTAATAAAAGAGTTGCCGGATGGCAGACATGCAACCTTTGTCCCTTTACTGTTAAAGGCTTCTTCAGAACTGAAGGTGAAACATATCAAAGAATCGAAAAGAGAAGTCCAGTTGTTTTTTGGGGTTTTTTTGTTGACATGTTTGTAATACATGAGCTACTTTGGTGACTTTGATGAGGTTAGTGTGAATGTTAACTCATTTTGGTGCGTCAACATTTAATTATATTTCAAACGGGACTTTTTTAAAATATGAAATGGAATAGAGTTTTACAGGGAAATCAGTAAAATGTTTTGAAAGGACTAAGAACTCATACAGTGTAAAAAACTATGTTTGACTGCATTAACATGCAATCTATTGTGCAGAAGTGAGTATAGAACTAAGAATAAGATCTGTTGATGATGAATAATTATAAATAATTAAGGAAACCACTGCTTTTCACGTGTAAATACACACAACAGCTTTCTCACTTTACTCATGAATTCTGCTGCTGTGTGATGGCTGCAGGAAGTGACTTTACTTAACTTCACCCAGATTATTGAATGGAAAGAGGAGGATCATTAATGAGGCTGATAAATTAATGAATGACTCAAGTTATTGTAAATATTCTTTGTCAAGGACAAGTAAAGTTTAGTTTATCTCTTATATGTGATTTCTAGTTTGTAGATACCCAACTTGAATTTTGTTGTAGTTGTACGAAAAATGAATTATGCAAGTGTGTTTGGATGTAGTTTTTAAACATTGAATTAATTTAAACTTCACTCATTTCACATCAAATCAGTGTTTATAATTGTGTCCACTGTGGTCACAAGATACTTGCTAATTTATCATCATTTGTAAGAGCTTCAGTGCTTTTGAGAAACACCTCTTAAACTTAAGAAGGCTCCCAAGATGGATTTTACTGACCTCTATACCGGCCTCTGTGTTTACGTCTATGTTTTTGTATAGCTTGTATCTGAACCCTCTTAGTGATGTGGGAAAGAAGTCCCTGTATGTTCGAGGTGTTCCCAGAGGCCACAGCGGCAGCGGTCGGAGGGTCAAGGTCCTGGCTTCTGTCACTGAGGGATCAGACATCTCAGAAGACTGGCACCCCATCCTTAGTGTTATACGAGAGAACGCCTCATCCTGGGACCGTGAACGCATTAAGCAGCAGCTCAAGGTTCACACCCACAATTTTAATATATAAATACCAAAAAAAACCATAACGGATTGTGTATTAAATGTGTCAGGATTTTAAAAAAAATTTCAAGCCATTCAGTTGTGAAGAGATTACAATGGTAATGATGATGTTAGCGATGAAATGGAATTCTTCTGTTACACATATAAATATGTCCAGCCAGCATGGGTTTACAAGACACCACAGATTAACATAAACCAACTCTATAATACAGAGCATGCGTTTTTAGTGACACTTGACCAAGCCTGAAAATCAGGTACCCATTCAGACAACTTATATTATCAGGTTTTCAGCACAATACATATCAATGCAAAATGAAATACGTATAAGTGACAACTGATTGACTGACATACAGGTGAGTGACAGATGGGAAAAAAACAGTGTAAAGTGTGTTAGTACAAGTGTTTGGTGAATCTGACTTTGAACACGTGCAAGCAGACTCATTAAAAAGATTTAGGAGAAGAATTTGAAAATGTTTTTGCATGAGGTGCATTGTTAGAAATGTCTGAGACACCCAGTGACCCTCTGTCCATCTGTGCAGGTCTTCCTCACTGATCTGGAGTGGGGGCGTCAGCAGCAGCAGAGCTTCTGGAAGAGGCTGCACTTTCGCAAGGTGGAGAAAGGAGTAAAGCAGACTCTACAGATGCTGGAGAAAGACACTCCATCCAAACGATTCCGCAAGTAACCCAAGAGGTGAAAGGGAACTGAATGTCGTCAGCAGCATTTCAGTTTGTAATCTGATTGTGTCTATACAGAAGTTATAAATACAGCTAAAATACAGTTAAGGGCTACTCCATTCTTTATTCTACAATATCTAGCAAAACAGCGTTAAGACGCTTTGTTTCTACGCTTTCTGAGCTCAGAGAACAGAGCACTAATCTTCAAGATATTCTTCGCAAGGTCTTCACCTGTGAGATGCTATGAGATGACATATGATGTGAATTGCTCTATATAAATAAAATTGAATTGAATTAAATTGAACAAATGCAAGAACTGTATATCATTAAACTCTAAGGCCCCATTCAGATATGCAACCAATTTTCTTAAGCTGACGGCAATTTAGCATGGCAGCTTATGTCTAAATGCGCACCCTGGTCACATTTCTGTTAAAGTTGCACTGGTAATCTTACTAGGTTGGACCAAGTAACTTTCAATATCACCCTTTAACACAGCTCAAGTCTGAACTGAACTGTTACAAAAAGAGATGGGCACACAAGCAACAGTACTTCACATTGTGTGCAGTGATTTATGGAAGGATTTTTCCACATTTCAGCAAAAATATTTGTCCAAAAACATTACATAGCAATTTAATACAGTTAGTGTGCCACACGACACTTCTCTCCAAGTTTCTAACCATTGGTCTACAAAATGAAATGTCCATAATACTGAAACTTTACTGCAATAAAAAAGACACTGACAGCAACAGAATAAAAGACAGACAGGTAGACATTAATGATACTCACCAATAATGAATATAATCTGAGTGTTTGTAGATTTAGTCTGGAATTGTATTATTATGTGTTATACCTAATTTGGTGTATTGTCTAATCTGGTGTGAATGACTAATATGACATGTGAACTGCAGCTCTCTCCAGCATAGTGGGGTGTATCTCTGCATGAAGTTGTGAGGAACATTGATGGAAAAGTGACACGTCTGAATGACTAAAATGCCATCACTTTGAAGCCAGCAATGTTCTATGTCCAGTGTTCAAAAAAGGCCTGTTATATGGTATGGAAGTAGTCTGTTCTGAATATTCACCTCACAGTGTGGATTATTTTTTGTTTTGTTTTGTTTTTTATCCACGAACAGTACAGAAAGACAAAAAACATAGGACAAGAAAGCAGAGGAATGACAGTAAAGGCCCAAACTGGCTGCGAGTTGTCTGGGAACTCTGCTGTTAGGGGCATATTCATTGCATCTTTATTAAATCATCCCATTTGCAATGCTCTTTCCTGGCATGAAACCAAATTGCTACTCATAACTCATCAACTCCCCTGCTTCCTCTGCTCTTTCCCATAACTTCATGGGAGCGGGTGTGGCTCAGGTGGTAGAGTGCGTTGTCCACTGATTGCAAGGTTGGCAGTTTGATGCCAAAGGGTCCTTGGGCAAGACACTGAACCCCAAGCTGCCCCGATGGCAGGCAGGCACCTTGCATGGCAGCTCTGTTGCCACTGGTGAATGATAAACATTTTAAAGCACTTTGAGTACCAACTGCAGGCCTTTTACCATTCATGGTTTGATTGATCAACTTTATACCACTGCAGTTGCTATAGCAAACAAACGGCTGTCTGTTGAATACAGTATGCCTACAGGGATAATTTAACATTTGATGAGGGATATAAAGGCATGTTCTGAATATGCAGCAATGTCTCTTTTAATTCTATATCTGGGATATTAGACTATCAATATACAGGGCTTGAAAAAATAAATCCCTGAAAGAAAAAACTTCTAATCAAAATATGGGAGTGAAATCTGAACATTATATTAACATGCCTAAAAATGTAAAATTACATTCATAAAGTTATGCTGCAGCATGCTTTTTAATTTGAAATACATATTTTTTCAGGAGCAGAGGCTGAAGGAATACCAGTGAATCCTACACTACTGCCCAAGTTTTTTCAGGTCTGGTTACAAATGAAAAGTGGCATAATAGAGTACATTCTGTGCCTACTTGGTTAACAGGTGATGCTGGAGATGGAAGGACAGCTGCTATTCTGGGGAGCTGACCTTTACAGTGGAAAGTGCAGACATTGTGTTATCCAAAATTGAGCCAACATTCTCCACATACTTTAAATGTCTGAAAAGGACCTGCTTTGAGATCAGTACACAGTGCTGACAGTTTATCTGAAATGTATCAGGAGAGACAAAGTTTATCAGTGCATGGCTAATATCTTCATTTTTCCACATTTTTGGTTGTCATGTTATTTGGACCAATATGCAGCTACATCTACTACATCTATGCAAGCCAAACTGAAAATGTGTCATTTTTAAACAAACATATTATTGCTGTACAATACTGTGTCCATAGACTAGTTTATTACAGCAATAGAAATATATTTCTTGTGTTTGCAGTCCCCCCCCCCCCAAAAAAAAAAAAAAATGAACTTCTCAGCTTCCATCAGGTTAGCTTGCCTTTTTAATGTGTGCTGAACTTGAATATTTTTTCTGGTACATGGTAAAATATGTCCCTGTGTTTAGAAAACTGTCAAGTACCATAACTATATATTTTTTTAAAACTGTGTTTTTTTAAATATATATATTCTTCTATCAGAGTTTCTGGTAGAAAAACAAAAAAATATATATATTTAGGTTTTTTTGTTTAAACAGTTGAGAACTTTGTTAAATGAAAAAAAAGGTTTGTACAAAAACATGTTGAAAATAAGTGTACTTATTGAACATATTGCTTTTGAACTTTGTTGTATGTTGTTTTATTTTTATTATATTTTTTTGTATATTTAGTGTTGTGTTTTCCACCTTAACCATTGGGTGACTGAGGCACACAGTGTGAAAGCATTTTGAACCATCCCCATCCTGGTCAGGTTTTTTTTTTTTTTTTTTTTGTGAATTAGGTGAATGTGTCTAAATAAACAGTTCCATGGTGATTTGTGCATGTGGGATGGTTATAGACGGATCATAGATGGTGCAATGCTGCCCTATTTAGGTTTTTATTTCATCTATCCATCCATTATCTACATATCAGTATGTATATTCTCGGAACAAAATGACACGTTGCATGTTCTCTGCTGTCTAAGAACCTAACACTCTTTATAACTGCTGGTGCTGTAATATTGGTGATAAAATGTAATTTTAACATGTTGCATTAAATGCTGTGGTGCAAAAAATGTTCTCCTAGTTATTATTGTTGGTCATAAACCATCCATCCACACATCCATTATCTATACACCCTGTTATAGATAATGTGGGTGGGTGGCTGGAGTCTATTCCAGCTGACTTACAGTGAAGGCAGGGTACATCCTGACAATGACAGTGAATAGACACCCAGGGTAATGTTCTGCACACACATAGAAGTGCATTTTTACTTCAGAGGTTTACTGATATAAAACTGATTATGAGAGTATTAATGTAAAAGTTACCCACAAAAAATCAAGTCTTTCCTTGAGTCATGAGATAATGATTGGACTACAAAAACATAAATAAAATAAATTCCCAAAATGCATAGAAATTTATGAAGCTTTATTTGTTTTGGGGAAATTAGATAATTGTACAACTTCAGACACCTATTTAAATGAAGCCAGATGTTATTGTAAGAGGTTAAGAGCAGAAAGAATTGGAAGCCACAGGTTTAAAGTTTAGCAGTGTGTTGTATTTTATAGGTTTATGTTATTGGAAGTCAAATCTCTATCTGTGAAGTAAATACAGTTGTCAGATATTGGTGGTGCAGTAAAAAGTACTTCTTTGTGAAATGTAGTGAAGATAAGATAATCCTTTATTAGTCCCAAAGCGGGGAAATTCGCAGTGTTACAGCAGCAATGATAGGTCAAACATTTAAGGAATGTGTAAAAAATGAAAATAAATAGAAACATACATAAGTACTACTTCTTAAAATAACTACTTTGACAATAGTCAGTGCACATATTATGGGTTTTGCACAAATTTTTTTGAAGAAAAACAATACTGGTAGAGTATTGTTATTGCACAGATTGTCTATATTGCACAAATTGTACGGAAGTTCTGTCTGTCTCTGAAGGAGCTGCCCAGTGTGTCCTCCGACATAGATGATAGCGTAGCCATCATCCTCCTGTCTCCAACCACCTCCACCAGATTGAGGGGACATCCCAGGACACAGCTGGCCTTTGCCAGTTTGTTTAGTCTCTTCCTGTCTGCTGCTGAAATACTGCTGCACCAGCATATGACTGCATAGAAGATGGCTGATGCAATCACAGCGTCAAAAAAGGACCTCAGAAACGGTTGCTATACTCAAAAGATAAATACAGTCTGCGCTGTCCTTTTGTGTAGAGTGTGTTGGTATTGTCTGGCCAGTCCAGTTCATTGCTAAGGTGAACACCCAGGTACTTAGAAGTGGGAGTCTACCACCAGTTTTTTGGTTTTCCCAGCATTGATCTGGAGGCAGTTCTGCTGGCAACCATTCACAAAGCTCTGGGTCAGTTCTCTGATGACTCTGCCTTTTATCCCTGTCTGTGATGACGACGACAAGTGCAGAGTCATCAGAGAACTTCTGTAGGTGAGCGATGGCTGAGCTGTATATGAAGTCTGCCGTGTATAGGGTGAAAAGGAAGGGAGCCAGGACTGTCCCCTGCGGTGCCCCTTTACAGCAGACAACCTTGCTCGATTGACAGTCCTGTAACCTCACATACTGTGGATGGTTGGCAAGGTAGTCTATAATCCAAGCTATAAGGTGGTGGTCCACCCCATGTGCTCCACTCCAGCTTGTCACTCAGAAGCAGGCGCTGCATGATAAGTCAAAAACAAAATTTTCACAGTGCTCCCAGCTTTTTCCAGGTGAGAGAGGGATCTGTTGAGGAAAAAGATGACAGTGTCATCCACCCCGATGCCAGGGTAATAGGTGAAATGTAGTGGGTCTCAGGGGGTGGAGATGGACAAGGACCAACCTCTCCAAGGTCTTCATCAGGTGTGATGTCAGAGCTACCGGCATGTAGCTGTTGAAGTCTTGTGACCTAAGACCGTAGTAAAGGTGCCGAAGACGCATAATGTTTTCCACAGTTCTGTGGTACCCCCACCCCCAGTCTCAGGTTCATGTTGAACATGTATTCAACTGTCCTGCACCTTGATCTTCCTGAGCTGTTTCCTCACTTGGTCTGTGGAGAGGGACAGGTTGAGACAGGAGGGCTGAATGCTGGAAGTAGAAGGTGGCAGCGAATGGGAAAGACATGTGGCAGAAGGTTCAATAAGGAAGTACTATAAAATACCAGATACATTCCACAGATTATATTCTACAGTACAACTGTACTTAATTTGCCAAATATACAATGAGTTTTCCTTTTGATGCTGAAACAATGGAACAATTATGCATAAAGCGGTGTGCACTTTGTGTGTCTTCTGGACAGCTTTACAATGAGTGCCCTCTACTGGTATGATGCTGTCATTTCACATTTCACATTTGAGGAAGATGAGTTGTCAACATGGTGAATATAGTTATCAGTCATGTTGCTGTTAGGTTTTTACTTCTTGAGAACTTCAAGTTGTTATTCAACCTGAGATTCTCTTTGCAGAGAGCTCATTTATAGCAGTGTCCTTCATGATTCTTGGCAGCTGAAACAGCCTGTTGGCCTTTTAAGGCAGGAATTAAAATGAAAGTGATTTTCAACATGCTTTTTTCAACAAACCTTTTTTCAGTAAGTTTTCGGTATGGGACCTTGAAGCAATAGAAGAAAGCATCCTTATTTCTGATAAATCCCATTTTCTTTTACATCATGTGGACAACTGTGTGTGCATCTTTACCTGCTGAAGAGGTGGCAGCAGGATGCTCTATGGGAAGAAGGTAAGCTGTTGGAAGCAACGTGAAGGAAAACTTTGGGCATTGCATTTATGTGGATGACACTATGACACCTACCTAAACATTACTGTGCAGTACATGGACATTGCAGTACTATTCCTTGGTGGCCTCTTTTAGCAGGATAATACTTACTGCCATTCACAGCAAAAATTGTCAAGCATTTGTGTGATGTGCTGGAAAAACAAGTCAAATCCATAGAGTTGTGACTTTGTGACATCCAGGACTTAAAGGATCTGCTGCTAACATCTTGGTGCCTGATAGTACAGGGCATCGTGTACAGAGGTCTGTGGAGCCCATGTTCAGAGAGGGAACCTACACATTTTAGGCAGGCGGTTTTAAAGTTGTGTTTGATCAGTTCACAGATCAGTACAAAGCCCACACAGCCCTGTACATATGTTTGAGAAAAATCAGGAGACTTTCAAAAACATTACCATAAATGGCTTTTATTTATCAGTGAATTGCATACACAGTGCAGAAAAGAGGGGGAAAAAGTGATCAAATGAATGTGTGGCGTGAGCACTCTTTTCCCTTAAAACAGGACAGTCGTGTTTTGATGCTTGCACACAATTTTTTTTCAAGACCTCAGTTTAGTCTGAATTTAAA